TCTAAACTACAGTGATCTTCCATTAGATTTTTTTTCTACTGAGAGGAACAGCTCAAAAGACAAGGATGCCTTTAGTCCAGCCCAACCCCTGTGGCCTCCATCTATTCAATTAATACAGAAAGAAATGCTCTCCTCCCTTCCATCCTTGGGGCTCAGCAGTGGGCAGAGCATTTGGTACTGTACATTTCCAATCTTCATAGAGTAAAGCCAGGCTTCTGCATTGACGACTGAGGTTACAGGGACAGGAGTGGCCCAAGGTTCTCACACACTGATGTTTCTTCAGAACTCCTCTATACTATTGTCTGCCCTAGGCTGTGTTGTGGGGAATGCTGGTTAGTTTGCTGAACAAAGATGCTGTTCAACAAAGTTCATGGCATCTCACATCCCAAGTCTCAGCCAAAGCTTTGCTGTATACCCTGGCTCCAGGGGGCGGGGCCTCCTTTGGAGTGAGGCACTTTGGAACTTGCCTTTGCTTCTTGTGCTTCCCAGTGAAGACTTGGCTCCTCCTACTTCTGCAAGCCTTGCACTGTCAGCTGGGAGCACTGACTCAGGCTGGGCAGGCTTACTGAGTAAGCAGGAGGCATCCAGCATCCTCTCTGGTTCTGACCAGACACTGGAGACTAAAAACAAACCCTCTTTTGCTCCATGGCTGGCTCACTGGCACAACATGAGCAATTGGCTTGGCTGTGCCTCATGAGAGAGAATGCCTGTGCCCAGGATGTCTCCAGCGGGGTTTGCTAGCCTTGTCTTGAGTCATCAGTGTGGTGGAGAAGCACAGGGGTGTAGGTGGAGACTCTGGAGGCCAAGTGAAAGTGGCAGCTCGCTCAACTTTATAAAGAGAAACAGTGGTTCAGCTACCCTGAGCATACTGTCTGTAGGAGAGGGAGCTGCCTGGACCACAGTAGCCATCACTGCCTCTGAATACACACAAAGGAGGCTTGCCTATCCAGAGAAAGAAGAAAACATTGGGGAGGAGATAGAACTGGCAGGAGAAAATGGACAGACAGGGCAGAGCCAGGAATCCATAGTCAGGGTAGTTAAGAGATTCCTACCCCACCCCTCAGGCAGTCCTATACTTTAGGCTAGAAGTTAACAGAGAAGGAAGAGTGAAAGGGTTCAACACTGTGGGGAGAAGCCTTCTAGTTCTTTCTCAGTCCAAGGAGAAATTGAAATTAATGAAATGAACCCAACATCTAACTTGTTTGTATAACCAGCTTCCATATTAGGACACCCAATAACTTACTCAGTAACCTTCCAAATCCCCCAGCGATGTGTTCTCAGAGCCCTTCTTTTGTAATGTTCCCTCTTAGGAACTGCCTACAGACCCTGCCCCTCAACCTCTCCATCTCCTGTCCAGCAGCGAGAGGAAAGGAGACAACCCGCCTAATTCTTCCCCTTCTTCAAGCCCCACTCTCCTTCAGAGGGAAATACCCTAAAAGGATTATTTTAATATTCCAAGCAAAGTACCCATGGACATACAGCTCTATGTTTGACCCAACTCCACCTCCGAAAATCCTTTCTTTTTGGGGAGGCAGCTATGCTCACCACTGTACCACCAACACATCTTTTTTGGATGTCTCAAAATGCTGAAGCCACCTTATTACTATGAGGGGAGCTGACCAATATACCAAAGACGGCACAGCAGAAAGATGAAAGGATTTTGACGATTCCATGAGCTGCTGGAATCACCAATTCTGGAAACAACCAACCCTCAAGATTTCTTGTTATCTGGAATAAGAAATCTTCCTGTTATGAAAGAAAGAAAAAAATCCTTCCCCAGCAGAGACCACTTTTACCATAAACTAAATGCTTCTTCTTTATCCTCAGCCTAAAGTATATTGGGACATTGAGATTTGCTTTTGAGTTCTAGCACTGCCAAGCTCCGCGGCCATTCCCCAGTCAGAGTCAGGAGAGAAAGGAAGCATGCTGGGTGGTGGGCAGGCAGCTGGGTGTCGGATCACAGCAGGAGCTTCCTGCCTTGTTTCCCACGTCCACTCATCCTTATTTATCAATCATATCATGCATGCTAACTCTCTCCCCTGACAATTTACCTGCTTTCAAAGCTTTGTGCCAATAAAGTTATTTTTCCATTTCATATAGCAAAAGCCTAAGCTGAAGCTAACTCGGGGCCTTTTCCCAGAAGATTTTGTCTCTAGCTTGAGCCACACCCACCTTAAAGCTCAGGACAGCTCAAGGAAAGGGTTGTCTGGGGCAAAGACCACTAGTTTTGGACCCTAGAAAGGTTGTCTAGGCTTTGGAAGCTGGAAACCCACCAATGACCGACCAGCTGCTTGCCTGGGAGGCATTGAGGGGGAAGAGAAAGGAATGTGATAGGAACAAAACAAAGGGAAGGATAATGGGCCTAGAAGAGAAAGAAGAAAAGAAAAGAAATAAGAACATGAGCTTAGCATCATAAAGGCAGAGTTGTTGGCTTTCAATTTTAAAAGAAACTTTAAAAGAATACTGTACTGGAATGGGTTAACGTCATCATCTTTAGCATCCTGGTAGCATTATTCAGTAGTTAATAAACAGAACATTAAACCTCTGCCCAGCTGGCTTTTGGAAAAGGAAACTGAGGGACCCCAAATTCAGCCACTCTTATAGCTTTCATCTCCAGTTCTTTTAATCCTGGCCAAGACGGCAGCCTTGGATACTTTCTTTCGGTCATAAGCCAGACCGATGGCAGCCATGCAATCGATGAAGAATGTGGTAAAGTTGATGTGCCAGCGGTATTCACTGGCAGAGTAGTCATAGGGAAAGGAGTGGTGGTAGTTGTGGAAGCCCTCACCTGAAACAAAGCAGAGAAGAGTTATGGAGCTACACTGGATTGCTGGCTTCTTGATCTTGGCACTCTGGTTACCTAGCGGAGTACCTCAAACGTAGTAGAAACCTGCCACTGTTGAATGAACAAATGGATGAATCCAGTCTTTTAAACTCTGAACCAAACAGATTCCCTCAGAGGCATCTTAAGAAATGACTGGGGAGACCCTGGTCACCATGGCTCTCTGGGAGCCTTTGTGGGAGGAGGACGGGCAGTTTCTGAGAGGATAAGATGATCTGAGAGAAACTTCTATCACTGGGAGTGGATTTTAGACTGGAAAATTCCAGAGCTTCACTAAATATTGGTATGAGACCCTAAAGGCTCTGTGTGTATGTGCATGTGTTAGGGTGGGAGAGGAGAGAGTCCAGAATCAAGAACCTTTGCTGTGTTTCTTACAAAGGTGAGCAAATGAGTACACCTTTCCCCACTGCATGGGTACTCTCTCCAAGGGTGGAAGGTACCAACAGAATTGGGCAGCAACAGTCAAGTCAGAAGAAAGAAGGCCCAGCCCATGGGCCCAAGTTCCTCAGCCTCCACTGGTTTAGAGTAGACTGCTCTGGCTTCTAATTCATTGAGCTTTGACCCTGGTGTGTGGGTGAAGCTGATAAAACAGAAGCTCTCTGAGGGAATAAGAATCAAAAGGCTTAGGTAGTCCCTCTAATATTCTGAGATGAGCAGTTCACTTTGCTGGATAGAGGAAAATCAAAGAGATTCTGGATTCAGGATAATTTCTGTAATGCATCAAGCTGTGGAAACTCCCCAGACAGAGAGTTCTCTAATCCGCGGCAGAATCTTCTTTCTGAACCTCATTCAACAATAACAATACCGACCCTTATGAGGCTGGGGTAAAGCTGGGTAAAGAAGAGCTAATAGGGACTTCCCTGGTGGCGCAGTGGTTAAGAATCCGCCTGCCAATGCAGGGGACACGGGTTTGAGCCCTGGTCCGGGAAGATCCCACATGCCACGGAGCAACTAAGCCCGTGCACCACAACTACGGAGCCTGTGCTCTAGAGCCCCTGAGCCACAACCACTGAAGCCCGCATGCCACACCTACTGAATCCCAGGCGCCTAGAGCCCGCGCTCCTCCGCAACAAGAGAAGCCACCACAATGAGAAGCCCACGCACCGCAATCAAGAGTAGCCCCCGCTCGCCGCAACTAGAGAAAGCCCATGCGCAGCGACGAAGACCCAACACAGCCAAAATATTCCAAGCAAAGTACCCATGGACATACAGCTCTATGTTTGACCCAACTCCACCTCCGAAAATCCTTTCTTTTTGGGGAGGCAGCTATGCTCACCACTGTACCACCAACACATCTTTTTTGGATGTCTCAAAATGCTGAAGCCACCTTATTACTATGAGGGGAGCTGACCAATATACCAAAGACGGCACAGCAGAAAGATGAAAGGATTTTGACGATTCCATGAGCTGCTGGAATCACCAATTCTGGAAACAACCAACCCTCAAGATTTCTTGTTATCTGGAATAAGAAATCTTCCTGTTATGAAAGAAAGAAAAAAATCCTTCCCCAGCAGAGACCACTTTTACCATAAACTAAATGCTTCTTCTTTATCCTCAGCCTAAAGTATATTGGGACATTGAGATTTGCTTTTGAGTTCTAGCACTGCCAAGCTCCGCGGCCATTCCCCAGTCAGAGTCAGGAGAGAAAGGAAGCATGCTGGGTGGTGGGCAGGCAGCTGGGTGTCGGATCACAGCAGGAGCTTCCTGCCTTGTTTCCCACGTCCACTCATCCTTATTTATCAATCATATCATGCATGCTAACTCTCTCCCCTGACAATTTACCTGCTTTCAAAGCTTTGTGCCAATAAAGTTATTTTTCCATTTCATATAGCAAAAGCCTAAGCTGAAGCTAACTCGGGGCCTTTTCCCAGAAGATTTTGTCTCTAGCTTGAGCCACACCCACCTTAAAGCTCAGGACAGCTCAAGGAAAGGGTTGTCTGGGGCAAAGACCACTAGTTTTGGACCCTAGAAAGGTTGTCTAGGCTTTGGAAGCTGGAAACCCACCAATGACCGACCAGCTGCTTGCCTGGGAGGCATTGAGGGGGAAGAGAAAGGAATGTGATAGGAACAAAACAAAGGGAAGGATAATGGGCCTAGAAGAGAAAGAAGAAAAGAAAAGAAATAAGAACATGAGCTTAGCATCATAAAGGCAGAGTTGTTGGCTTTCAATTTTAAAAGAAACTTTAAAAGAATACTGTACTGGAATGGGTTAACGTCATCATCTTTAGCATCCTGGTAGCATTATTCAGTAGTTAATAAACAGAACATTAAACCTCTGCCCAGCTGGCTTTTGGAAAAGGAAACTGAGGGACCCCAAATTCAGCCACTCTTATAGCTTTCATCTCCAGTTCTTTTAATCCTGGCCAAGACGGCAGCCTTGGATACTTTCTTTCGGTCATAAGCCAGACCGATGGCAGCCATGCAATCGATGAAGAATGTGGTAAAGTTGATGTGCCAGCGGTATTCACTGGCAGAGTAGTCATAGGGAAAGGAGTGGTGGTAGTTGTGGAAGCCCTCACCTGAAACAAAGCAGAGAAGAGTTATGGAGCTACACTGGATTGCTGGCTTCTTGATCTTGGCACTCTGGTTACCTAGCGGAGTACCTCAAACGTAGTAGAAACCTGCCACTGTTGAATGAACAAATGGATGAATCCAGTCTTTTAAACTCTGAACCAAACAGATTCCCTCAGAGGCATCTTAAGAAATGACTGGGGAGACCCTGGTCACCATGGCTCTCTGGGAGCCTTTGTGGGAGGAGGACGGGCAGTTTCTGAGAGGATAAGATGATCTGAGAGAAACTTCTATCACTGGGAGTGGATTTTAGACTGGAAAATTCCAGAGCTTCACTAAATATTGGTATGAGACCCTAAAGGCTCTGTGTGTATGTGCATGTGTTAGGGTGGGAGAGGAGAGAGTCCAGAATCAAGAACCTTTGCTGTGTTTCTTACAAAGGTGAGCAAATGAGTACACCTTTCCCCACTGCATGGGTACTCTCTCCAAGGGTGGAAGGTACCAACAGAATTGGGCAGCAACAGTCAAGTCAGAAGAAAGAAGGCCCAGCCCATGGGCCCAAGTTCCTCAGCCTCCACTGGTTTAGAGTAGACTGCTCTGGCTTCTAATTCATTGAGCTTTGACCCTGGTGTGTGGGTGAAGCTGATAAAACAGAAGCTCTCTGAGGGAATAAGAATCAAAAGGCTTAGGTAGTCCCTCTAATATTCTGAGATGAGCAGTTCACTTTGCTGGATAGAGGAAAATCAAAGAGATTCTGGATTCAGGATAATTTCTGTAATGCATCAAGCTGTGGAAACTCCCCAGACAGAGAGTTCTCTAATCCGCGGCAGAATCTTCTTTCTGAACCTCATTCAACAATAACAATACCGACCCTTATGAGGCTGGGGTAAAGCTGGGTAAAGAAGAGCTAATAGGGACTTCCCTGGTGGCGCAGTGGTTAAGAATCCGCCTGCCAATGCAGGGGACACGGGTTTGAGCCCTGGTCCGGGAAGATCCCACATGCCACGGAGCAACTAAGCCCGTGCACCACAACTACGGAGCCTGTGCTCTAGAGCCCCTGAGCCACAACCACTGAAGCCCGCATGCCACACCTACTGAATCCCAGGCGCCTAGAGCCCGCGCTCCTCCGCAACAAGAGAAGCCACCACAATGAGAAGCCCACGCACCGCAATCAAGAGTAGCCCCCGCTCGCCGCAACTAGAGAAAGCCCATGCGCAGCGACGAAGACCCAACACAGCCAAAAATAAATTAAAAAAAAAAAAAAGGAATAGCTAGTAAAAGAGTGTGCTGAGCCCTTTGAAGATGAAAGAGCCCCAGTAGAGTAATAATGGCATTAATAACCAAAAAGGAAGGAAGTCCTGCGATGGGAAAGACACCATCCAGGGCATCATCTCAAGGTATGTCCTTTCTCTGACTATCCACAGTGCGGATCATCAGTTTATCATCAGAAGTGAGTAGGAGGGTAGGAAAACCCCAAGGCTAAAGGTACTGATGGAGGATTACTAATTTCCATAAACGACTTTGCAGCTAGGCTCTGTATAAGCACTAGCCAGGCCCACACATCAGATTTAAACTGAATCAGACACACGCACGTTGCCAACGGAGGAAAAAAAGAGGAGGAAGGTCAGTGGGCGAAAAAAGGATGAGACTTTGCAACTGGGGCAGCAAAATACAGCCCAAGAGAGGCTCAAGGGGTGAGGCCAGCTTTAGCAGAGAGAAGATGAGCATGTGACTGCAGGGGAGGTAATTCAAGAAGAAATAGATTAGAAAGGCAGGGCAGCAGGCTACTGGAGAACAAAGGGTGAGGTGATAAGCGGGGAGAGCAGGTATGGAGGAATGATAAGAGACAAAGTAAGCTACTGGCAGCCACTTTGAATGGGTGGTCATAGAGGCTGGGGCTGGGGAAGACAGATCTGTTTGCAGGACAGGACCGATCTCATTCCAGAAACTTCCATAACGTTCATTAATTTTCTATGAAAATAGCCTGTGTGATTGATTTCAAACATGGTTCAGAGTAAGAACACGGACAACAGTACAAGGTGTCTGAAAGGAGGGGGAAGGTGCATGAAAGTTAAAAAGAGATGAAAAAATGTCTTTTGTGCAGATAGTTAAAAAAAAGATGGTCAGGGTTGAGAATATAAAGGAAGGTTTTAAAGCGAACAAAACGAAGGCTAGGCCGTGGTGTACGTAAATGTGTGGAGCAGGGAGGTTGCCTCGATATGCTGAATGACCAACAGCACTGATGACTGGTGTGGAAGAGGCCATGGGGTCTGCTTAAGGAAATCTAATTCCAGGCCTTAGTCAAGGTCTATATTTAGTCGAAAAGAGTGACGGACAAAAAAAAAAAAAATGGAGACAGATTGTAGAACCCTGTTGTCTTAGACTCTGGCTATTGGAACTGGAATGGTATAAATAAATTCTTGAATAGTCAGCATTAGATCAGTGAGCAGGTACTTGTGATCAAACTAACTGCTTTACTGGGAGTTCCCTAAGCCACGTTGAGGGGAGGGAGTGTTCCCAGCCCAGAAGAGGAGCAGAAGAGAGAAAAATAAAGGACAAGAGATGAGAATGGTAGGTCGTGATAAAGGGCCACCAACAGTTGCTTTGATGTCCTTCATACTGGAATCACCAAGCAATAAGTCATGAAATACACTTCCAGTATGGCCTCTCTGAAAATAGCAAGGTGACAGAAGAGAGGCTTATTGAATTAAATGACAACTATTTGTTCTACATGTTGTATAGCACATCTAAATATAAAACACTAGGCTTACAGCCACCCAGATCAGAGATAACTGGAAAAGGGGCAACCCAAAGGGGATCATCATACATAGCATTTGGGGATTGTGCTGGAACCTGGAATCAAAGGCATTGTTATTTTTCACCCTTTTCTCATTTATTTATTTAGTTTTGGCTGTGTTGGGTCTTCGTTGCTGTGTGTGGGCTTTCTCTAGTTGAGGTGAGCAGGAGCTACTCTTTGTTGCAGTGCACAGGCTTCTCATTGCAGTGGCTTCTCTTGTTGCGGAGCACGGCCTCTAGGTGCGCGGGCTCAGTAGTTGTGGCGCACGTGCTTAGTTGCTCCGTGGCATGTGGGATCTTCCCCGACCAGGGCTCTAACCCGTGTCCTCTGCATTGGCAGGCGGGTTCTTAACCACTGCACCACCAGGGAAGTCCCTCACCCTGTTCTCTTTACATAGGACTTGCTGCTTAATTCTCAAGGATTTTTAATATTGCCCCTTAGTTTTATAGTGTAAAGACAGAGAGGGGTCATAAAACAGGTGAATCTGGTTTTTCTGGCTCCTAGCCTAATACTCTAAGCTGCAGACCACTAGATGTGACTTACCTACAGCTCCCAGTGAAACCAGGAGATTCTCTCGGGGGTTAATGGTCTTGTCATAAGGGCGGTATCCGTACAGGTGGGCAGCACTGTTCACCAGCCAGGTGGCATTGAGCACAACAGCGTAACGCAAGAAGGTGGCGACAAACAGGCTGTGTGGAAAAGTTTCACCCCAGCAGTACCAGGGCACGAGTGTGGGCAGGATGAAGCACATCAGCAGGACAGCGGGTTTGTAGTACCTACATTGAGAGATCACACGCCTGGTCAGTGGAGAGAGGACTCTGAGACCTACCTGATTTTCTGTTCTCACACGGTTGGGCTGTCTCTTTCTTTCTACATTGTGAGCACAATGTGGCAGGAAACAGAGCAAGAGGGAGTGGGGTGGGAAATCTTCTGAGAATGTTGTGTTATTATCATACTTCTTAGATGAGGTAATGAGGGGTTAAATGACTTTTCTAGGGTCACACCACCAGGAACCGTTGGAGCAAGGATTGGAATGCTTTGTCTCCTGACTCTAAATCCATTGCTCTCTCACTATAGCATAATACCACTTTGGTAAAACAGGTGGGGTCCAAATTACAGACTGAGTTCTCCTTCCCGGGTTTTTCCATTCTGCCTTTGGGCTTCCTTTCTCTTTATCAGTCCTCTTGGCAGAATCTATGTTTAGTATCTTGCCTCCATCTCCTGCTAGCCGGGAATCCTTCTCATCCTTCCTCTTCTTTTCCCTCAGAGAGGCACTCCGAATGTCCTAGATGCCTGCAGGTCTGTCCCTCTGGAGGCCCTGTCCCAGTCTGCATTCTCCCAAATGTACAGCAGGCCATTGATATTCCGAGGGAGCTGTTTTCTTACACCCCTTCAGCAGTCAAGTCTGATCCTCTTGTATCATTAATAACCCCTGCTTCCGACTCCTCTCCACTCCCACCACCACTTCCCTGCACGGATCCCCACTACCTCCCCACCTGTGGCCCTGCTTCCCACCTCTTTAGCTCAAGGCCTTCTTTCACCTATCCCCAGAGTGACCTTTCTAAAGCACACCTCCAACCATGCCACATTCTGGCTCAAAAGCCTTTTCATGGTTTCCTATTGCCTGGGTTAAAGTAAACCTCATCTGCTTTTAACACTCCACAAGAATGGCATCAGTTTCCCTTTCTAGCCTTATTTCCTACCACACCCTGCACTTCAAAGGACTCTGTTGCTGGAACACACTTCAGCTCATTCTTTCTGTTTGCACTGTCCCCTCCTCCCCACCTGTGAAAATCTCTATCCATCAGTGGATTCCAAAGCTACTTTCTTCATAAGCCCTTCCCTGATGTTCCCCACTCTGCAGCCTCCCTCCCCTTTGTGCCTCTCCTGGGTATGGAAAATATTTTGCCACGTATCACAGGTATTTGGACACTTGGCTTATCCCTCCACTCCCCAATAAGCTATGAACTCCTTGAAGGTAAGGACCATGACACATTCAGCTTTGTATCCATGACTGTCCTAGGTCAACAAACATTTGTTGAATTTAATTGGTTTAGATAGCTCAGAGAGAAAGAAACAACAACAGTCTATGGCTATGGGCCTGTGGGCTATTAACAATTAGGGTTTTAAATTATAATTTGGAATATGGAAACCCAGTAAATTTCTCAGTTCATGTTGACAAGTCCTAGGAGAAAAAAGTGGGTCACCAAATGCCAGGTCCCCAGCTCCATCATCATGTCACTCACCTCCTCTGGAACACCAACAGCTTCTCAGCTTTTAGGTCAGATAAGTTTAGCAAACCACCCTTCTCTTTGACTTCTGGGTGTTTGCGCACAAGCAGCCAACCCACGTGAGAGAAGAAAAAGCCACGTCGGGAATTGTGGGGATCAGCATGTGTTTCCGAAAACTTGTGGTGGGCACGGTGATCTCGGGCCCATTCGTAAACGTCATTCTGGAGGAACAGAGAAGAGGAATGAAGGCCTGAGGAGAAACACCCTCTCACGGGAGTTCCAATGGCTGAGGAGTCTGCACAATCTCTTCCTTCTTTTGCCCCACAGGGACAACGTGGGGAGCCTTCAAGGCATTAAGTGCTATGGCAGAGATGATTATGTAACCGTGAGATATTGCCATGGAGAAGGGGATTAATTTGGTTTCCTTGTTTTTTCCTCTTACTCCAAGCTAAGCCTTGCACTACATGCTATCCTTTACCCACTGCTACTGCTTAATAACTATGAGTTCCCTGTCTCCAATTCCCTTCATTCTATCTCTGCTATAAACTTCCTGCTTAAACAAACCTCAATACTTGACTTAGGCAGTGTGGTAGCCCAACATAGGACCATAGCGTTGGTCTACCTAAACCCTCAGTGACACAATTTCCCCATCTGTGAAATGGGGATAACAATAGCAGCTACCTCCTAAGATCGTTGTGAGGGTTTAATGAGGTAATCTATGACAAGTGCTTAGAATAGTGCCAGGCACATTGTTAGCACTATAAAAGTGTATGATCTTCTTACCTGAAAACAACAGAGTACATGAATCTGTGAAACATTAACTTCAGCCCCATTGTGGTGGAATCCTAAGACATTAAAGTAGTGAATGTCTTGTTCAATGTCTGCCAGGGAAACCAGGGTCAGTTCCTGCCTTCAGTTCCTGCCTTATGCACTTATGAAGGACCACAATGGCCAGACTTTGTGATAACAGAGGATCAAAAATGACCCTATGGGGCTTCCCTGGTGGCGCAGTGCTTGAGAGTCCGCCTGCCGATGCAGGGGACGCGGGTTCGTGCCCCGTTTCGGGAGGATCCCGCATGCCGCGGAGCGGCTGGGCCCGTGGGCCATGGCCGCTGAGCCTGCGCGTCCGGAGCCTGTGCTCCGCAAATGGGAGAGGCCACAACAGTGAGAGGCCCGCATAACGCAAGA